GCGGAGGGGAGGGGCTGGGGGGGAGGGGACATCTGTAATACTTTCAACAATAAAGATTAATTTAAAAAATAAGCACACCATCTTCTTTTGTACTCTTCATTTATATTGCTCACCAAGAAGTAACTAAAAGAGCAATTGTGGACAGTTGGTGTTCAAAATTTCAATTCCAGTTGATGGTGAAAAGTTTTATGTTAGGAAGAGGAATTTTCTATCCTTGTTGTAGAAAACTCTATTTATTTATGTAAGGACTGCCACAGAAAGCTTTCAAAAAATTATTAATTAGTCTCTGTTGCAATAAAGCACATGGCCAATGAGTTAGGCTTTGGACTTTTAAGAAAAGAGAAGCATTCACAACCTCAAGTAGCTCATAAACTGGCACCGAACATTCAAAGATTCAAATTCTCACTCTGCCCCATGGAAAACCACTGCTCTGTCAGCTAATTGGGCTTTGGGATCAGAGTTCTCAAGAGGACAATGAAGATAAAGTCTTCACCATTCAGTTTTTTGGGGGGAAATAGTGAGGTAGGAAGCAGTAGTTGACTATTGCCCCTGGAAATTAAGCTTACTGGCCTCAATTGGGTTTTTGTTTTTTACATAGTTACACCAGAACTAAAGTAGAAGTATATTTTTTTGGTTTTTCTATGTCTCCCCAAGAAATGAATGTATCAACTCAACATTTTTTTACCTTGAATATTCCCATCACTTCACTCCAACTGCCCTGGGCAATCCTATGACCTTAAGCCCTCCTTTCCTTAACTTGGCATCACTGCTGTTGATTTTCATGGAAACTTATGGTCCTAAAGTTCGTCCTCTTAACTTTCCATCTAAGCAAAAGTTGTTAAATTTCTATCACGGAAATGCTGTCACTCTCTTAATTCCTCAGCAAATCCAACTTCAACTTTTACCTGGCTTTTCTGCCATAGTTCTGTTCTGCCCCTAAGTCTATCAATCAATTACTCTGTTATCGCATGTGTCTTTTTTTTTTTTTTTTAATATATCTTTATTGATTTCAGAGAGAGGAAGGAAGAGGGAGAGAGAGATAGAAACATCAATGATGAGAGAGCCATTGATCGGCTGCCTCCTGCACACCCCCGACTGGGGATCGAGCCTGCAACCCAGCATGGGCCCCGACCGGGAATCCAACCATGATCTCCTGGATCCTAGGCCGATGCTCAACAGCTGAGCCATGCCCGGCCGGGCCGCATATATATCTTAATAGAAAATTCTGACCAAGTTACTTCCCTGCTTAATGTTATTTTCTTGTTATCTAAAACTTAAGTCCAAATTTCACAGATGGGAGCAAAAATGGTCCCAGCACTGTCCTCTGCGTCCACCGCCACCCCCTTTCCTATACGTCTACATTCTTGTTGCAATGAATTTTTCACCATTCCAGGAAAGGTCAGCCCTTTTATATAATGCCCTCATTGCTAACAGTGTCTTTCACCAAAATCCATCCTGCAAATTGCTCTTTGTTTTCAAGCCTCACTTTACCTGAAATTTATCTGTTGCATATACTTTCCCCCTTTACCAATAATGAGCTCTTACTCACCTGTGATTCCAAAATCATCAGCCTGTCAGAAAGGCTGATTTTCATATATTCGTCCAATGATTATCAAGATCTTGGGTATCCCTTTTTAAAACATACAGAACCCATTTTCCCGTAAAGGCACAGACAGAAATTCAATATGCAAAATACTTGAGAATAGAACTTTTGCAGAAGGGCTGACTGTAGCAAAAGCCCACTGAGTCGTGGATGGCAGATGGCAGGAGCCCAATCCAAGGGCAGTGTCCCTCACATCTTTGTTTAACCCCCTTACACACTCACAAAAGACCTAAACAATTCCTAGAGCTTGAAGTAAAGCCACAGATTAAAAACCACTATAGTAGATAATCTGATGGTCAATTCTTAGTTAACATACAAGTAGGAGAAACACAGAGACCACTCCTGGGTGATGCGTAATATCTAGGTCTCTAAAAGGAAGTAAGCCTTCTTAAGGTAGCATTTGGTAAGAAATGCTACATATCTTATAATTGTCCTTTCAATCATCACAATTTTGAATATAATAAAAAAGAGTGTCCCTTAGTTAGAATATATAAAACTACCTAAAAAGATGAACTCCTGACTTTTATGAAGATAATAAAAAGATGAATTGAAAATTACTAATCCCATACTATGGCATTGTATAATATATTTTATTATACAATTAAGACTAAAAGTATGTAACACACTATAAAGGATATCTGCATGTGGGATACTGTAGGCTTCCTCTGCATTCAGGAACCAAGGTAAACAGCTAGCCAATGTAACTAAGGGATTTCCCCATAGGGAAATGTGGATAATGTGATGTGACCCCACCAGCTGCAGTCCACTGGCATTTCTGTTTAAGCATTAACACCGAGGCTCACGCATGCTGATCATCAAACCTGCAGAGCTTATTTAAATACAATTTTCCTGCCCTGGCCAGTTTGGCTCAGTTTGGCACATAGGCCCTTGGACTGAAGGGTCCCAGGTTTGGTTCTGACCAAGGCAAGTACCTTGGTTGCAGGCTCTGCCTCAGTCAGGTGGTGAGTGGGAGGCAACAAATCAGTGTGTCTCTTTCACATTGATGTTTCTCTCCCTCCCTTCTTCCC